CTTTCCCTTTACAGCTGTCACTGCAGTTTTCTCCTTGGAGGTACTGAACATGCCCATTGAACAGCCACTATGGGCCATTGTAATAAGGTAAAATAAACTCATTTTTCATGGTTTTTTTTTTTTTTTGAGACGGAGTGTCACTCTGTTGCCCAGGCTGGAGTGCAGTGGCACAATCTCGGCTCACTGCAACCTCTGCCTCCCAGGTTCAAGCGATTCTCCTGCCTCAGCCTCCAGAGTAGCTGGGCTTACAGGCGACCACCACCACGCCTGACTAATTTTTGTATTTTTAAAATTAGAGACAGGGTTTCACCATGTTAGCCAGGCTGGTCTCAAACTCCTGACCTCAGGTAATCCACCCACCTCAGTGTCCTAAAGTGCTGGGATTACAGGTGTGAGCTTTTCTTGGGACAGCTGCCTCGGTGTTTTCAATAACCTCATAACTGGTCTGCTACTGTGGCAGCTGCTAGCTCAGCGCCCAGCCCACAAGCCACAGCTAACCCAAAGAACATCTTCATGCTATTTATTATTATTATTGGGTTTTTTTTTTTTTTAGACAGAGTCTCACTCTGTCACCCAGGCTGGAGTGCAGTGGCACGATCTTGGCTCACTGTGACCTCTGCCTCCCGAGTTCAAGCGATTCTCCTGCCTCAAACCCCCAATAGCTGGGACTGCAGGTGCACGTACCACACCTGGCTAATTTTTGTATTTTTAGTAGAAACGGGGTTTCACCATGTTGGCCAGGCTGGTCTTGAACCTCAGGTGATCTGCCTGCCTTGGCCTCCCAAAGTGCTGGGATTACAGCATGAGCCACCGTGCCCGGCCCCCTTCATGCTATTTAGACAAAAGTGCCTGTCTTAGTCTATTTGGGCTGCTATAACAAAAGAAAAAAAAAACCCATAAACTGGGTAGCTTATAAACAACTGAGATTCATTTCTCACAGTTCTGGAGGCTGCAAAGTCCAAGATCAAGGCACTGGCAGATTCAGTGTCTCGTGAGGACCCACCTAGGACCCACTCATCATAGATAAGACCTTCTCAGTGTCCTCACCTCGTTGAAGGAGCGATTGAGCTTCCTTGGGCCTGTTTTATAAGGGCACTAATCCCACCCATGAAGGTGGAGCCCACCTCCCAAGGGGTCCCATCTCCCAATAACATCACCTTGGGAGTTAGGATTTCTTTTCTTTTTTTTTTTTTTGAGACTGAGTTTCACTGTTGTTACCCAGACTGGAGTGCAATGGCACGATCTTGGCTCACCGCAACCTCCGCCTCCTGGGTTCAAGCAATTCTCCTGCCTCAGCCTCCCGAGTAGCTGGGACTACAGGCGCGTACCACCATGCCCAGCTAATTTTTGTGTTTTTAGTAGAGACGGAGTTTCACCTTGTTGACCAGGATGGTCTGATCTCTTGAACTCATGATCCACCCGCCTCGACCTCCCAAAGTGCTGGGATTATAGGCGTGAGTCACCGCGCCCGGCCCGGGGGTTAGGATTTCAATTTATTAATTTGGTGGGGAGGGGGCACAAACATTCAGACCACCGCAGTGCCCCTCTAGGCAAATGCAGCCCCTCTGGCTCACAGTTTGCCTAGCTTGTAGTTATTAGGAAAAGGCACCTTTTTCTGCTGGCTGACAGGGCCCTGTACCAGGATGCACTATACAACTTGGTGAACATAGTACAGGTGCAATTTTAGGTCCCTGTCCTCATCCTTTCAGCACAAGCTGCCCTTATACAGAGCAAATTTGCATGACTTTACGGGGTGGGCCTGGTGACACATAATCCTTGTGATCTGACTCCTGAGTATCTCCAAGATTTCAGACTTCAATTGTCCCACCATCCCCTGCCTTAGTCCCACCCTGTTCACTTTCATTGAGAGCTACCCGTGCTCCAGGAACATGGTCCTTCCCTCCTGCCCGAGCAAAAGACAGGCCTGGTCCTGCCTCAGGGATTTTCACTTGTTCTTCCCAAGCCTTTGTATTTCTGGATTCTCAGTTCACCAAAATAGTCAATTCCTTCTCCCAACCTCCCTTGTCTTCAAATATCACTACCTGAAAGTCATTTACATGTTATTGTTGGTTCCACAGTCCCCCTCGAACTGCACCAACTCTGTGCAGGAACACTGCATTCAAACCCCTGCACTTAGAGACTTCACCAAACTTTGGCATAGCTTATAGCAGCCTAAGGCTACCACTTGGGGGCAGCCCAGCTCCTTTTGAGTTCCAGTCTGAAAAAGCTGAGGGCTGTCAAAACAATGTTATCATTCGTCCTAGCCAACACCTGACAAGGATGGGTCCTGACCACCTTCTTAGCGCTAAGAAAATGTTACCATTATGAGGCCGGGCGCAGTGGCTCACACCTGTAATTCCAGCACTTTGGGAGGCCGAGGCTGGGCGGATCACCTGAGGTCAGGAGTTTGAGACTAACCTGACTAACATAGAGAAACCCTGTCTCTACTAAAAATACAAAATTAGCTAGGCGTGGTGGTACATGCCTGTAATCCCAGCTACTCGGAAGGCTGAGGCAGGAGAATCATTTGAACCCGGGGTTGCAGTGAGCTGAGACAGCACCGTTGCCACTCCAGCCTGGGCAACAAGAGCGAAACTTAGTCCAAAAAAAGAAAAAAAAGGAAAAAGTTTACTATTGTGAATCCTTCCTTTGTCCCTTAAGAGATATACATGCATGTATCTCTTACAACTCAAGAATGTTTCTCAAGGACCTGAAAGCCATTCCTTTAAAATGTAATAATCAAGAAGGATAGGGCCTCTGTCTCCCACTGTCTGTGGGAGGAAGGAATCCTAACTTTGTTCATTTCCAGCCAGCAGATGCAGCTGGCTTAATTGTATTTACCCTGACCAACCCTCTTGTCCACTTTTTTGTAATTTTTCACTTCCTTGATTCTATGTGAGTCCCCACTTGATCCTCCTCCCTACTCCCTCATTCTTTCTTTAAAACTCCTAGTCACGGGCCTGGGGCAGGGACTCATGCCTGTAATCCCAGCACTTTGGGAGGCCGAGGTGGGCAGATGGCCTGAGGTCAGGAGTTTGAGACCAACCTGACCAACCTGGTGAAACCCTATCTCTACTAAAAATACAAAAATGAGCCGGGCGTGGTGGCACACACCCCTAACCCCTGCTACTTAGGAGACTGAGGCAAGAGAATCCCTTGAACCTGGAAGGTTGCAGTGAGCCAAGATTGCGCCACTGCACTCCAACCTGGGGGACAGAGTGAGACTCAGTCTCAAAAACCAAAACAAAACAAAACTCCTAGTCGCCTCTGTGGAAATGAGAATGAAGTTCAGCTCTTTCCTCTACTGTCAGTAGTTACTGAATAAAATCGGTTTTTACCACTAATGTCAGCTGTGTTTATCTTTACCTTCACCCTCCTTCAGAGACTTTCAGGGACCAGGTCTGTTTTGTTCACTGCTGAATCCTCAGTGCCTCCAAGAACACCCAGCACAATAAACATCTGCTGAATGAACAAATAAATGTTTGTTAAAATGCATGCAGTGGGCCGGGTGTGGTGGTTTATGCCTGTAATCCCAGCACTTTGGGAGACCGAGGCAAGTGGATTACCTGAGATAGGAGTGTGAGACCAGCTTGGCCAACTCGGTGAAACCTTGTCTCTACTAAAAATACAAAAAATTAGCCAGGTGTGGTGGCACATGCCTGTAATCCCAGCTACTCAGAGGCTGAGGCAGGAGAATTGCTTGAACCTGGGAGATGGAGGTTGTAGTGAGCTGAGATTGTGCCAATGCACTCCAGTGTGGATAGCAGAGCTAGACTCCGCCTCAAAAAAAAAAAAAAAAAGGAAGTAGGCCGGGCGTGGTGGCTCACGCCTGTAATCCAAGCACTTTGGAGGCCAAGGCGGGTGGATTTCAAGACCAGCCCGACTAACATGGTGAAACCCCGTCTTAAAAAAAAAAGGAAGTAGTGAAAGGCCTCAAGGCTTGGATCTTCTTGGATCTTAGTCTCATTTTTTGTCTTGGTTAACTAACTTGTTGCCTGAGTCAGGCTGCTTCATCAACTTGGTCCAACTACTACTTGTATGACCTAGGGCAAGATTAAAAAAAAAATTTTTTTTTTGTAGCGGGGTGCAGTGCATCATTCCTGTAATCCCAGCACTTTGGGAGGCCTAGGTGGGAGCATTGCGTGAGCCCAGGAGTTCGAGACCAGCCTGGACAACATGGTAAGACCCCTTCTTTACAAAAAATTTTAAAAAATGTTAGCCGGGCGTGGTGGTGCACAAGTGTGGTCCCAGCGCCTCTGGAGACTGAGGCAGGAGGATCCCTTGAACCCAAGAAGTCAAGGCTGCAAGTGAGGCAAAATCGTGCCACAGTACTCCAGCCTGGGCAACAGATCAAGACCCTGTCTCAAAAAAACCCAAAACATTTTTTGGGGTAGAGATGGGGTATCGCTATGTCACCCAGACTGGTCTCAAAGTCCTGGCTTCAAATGATCCTCCCACCTTGGCCTCCCTAAGTGCTGGAATTACAGGCATGTGCCGCCTTGCCCAGCTGGGCAAGATACTTGACAAAGACTGTCTCTTTTGACCAAAACCTTAGTCAGGCTCCTCCATGTACTCTGCTTGACTAGGCCTGAACTGTCCTTAAAAGGGTCTTTACAAGGACTTTCTCTGTCCTTATTGAATCTAGTTTGAGCAAGAATCCCGCTAAGTCAATTTAGGGGAAATCTCCCACACTTGTTATCTGACTACCCTGGATTCTTATCATCCTGGCCTACCTTCAGCAATAATCCTATCAAGTCAGCTTAGCTGGAAACCCCTTATCCTAGATGTTTCCTCTTAGTAATTTCCCATTCACTGACCCCCACCTTGCTCCTTGGCTACAAATCTCCACTTGTCATTGTTGGACTTAAGAGTTGAGTCCAATCTCTCTCCCTTTGCAAGACCCCATTGCAGTGGTCCGCATACCTGTCACCATGACCTTGAATAAAGCCTGACCCTGCCATCTTTAACACTGTCGTGAATAATATATTTCTTTAACAGTACATAACCTCTCTTTGCCTCAGTTTCCTCCCTCACAGGGTCATTTGGAAGATTGAAATAGTGCGAGAGAAGGTGCTTGGGAAATGAGTTCCAATCTTGACCTTTACTGGGTCTCTCTTATCTGTTCTCTTCCCTAGAGCAGTATTACTTGTGTTCAAAAGAGTGCAGATTCTGGAGCCAGACTGCCTGAGTTTGAAGTCCAGCTTTGCTCCTGACTAGTTGTGAGATCTTGGGAAATGGCTTAACTTTTCAGTACTCACTTTCCTCATCTGTAAAATGAGATGGGGATGGGGCGTGGTGGCTCACACCTGTAATCCCAGCACTTTGGGAGGCCGAGGCAGGCGGATCACCTGAGGTCGGGAGTTTGAGACCAGCCTGACTAACATGGAGAAACTCCATCTACTAAAAATACAAAATTAGCCAGGTGTGGTGGCGCATGCCTGTAATCCCAGCTACTCCGGAGGCTGAGGCAGAAGAATTGCTTGAAACCGGGAGATGGAGTTTGTGGTGAGCTGGGATGGCACCATTGCACTCCAGCCTGGGCAACAAGAGCAAAACTCTACCTCCAAAAAAAAAAAAAAAAAGAGGAAGATGGTAGTGCCTACCTCATAGGGTTGTTGTGAGGATTAGGAGTTAATACGGGCCAGATGCGGTGGCTCACACCTGTAATCCCAGCACTTTGGGAGGCCGAGGCGGGTGAATCATCTGAGATCAGGAGTTCGAGACCAGCCTGGCCAACATGGTGAAACCCTTTCTCTACTAAAAATACAATAAATAAATAAATAATTAGCCAGGTGTGGTGGCACACACCTGTAATTCCGGCTACTTAGGAGGCTGAAGCAGAATTGCTTGAACCCAGGAGGCGGAGGTTGCAGTGAGCTGAGATTGTGCCACTGCACTCCAGCCTGGGTGACAGAGTGAGACTCTGTCTGAAAATAAAATAAAGTGAAATAATAAGAGTTAATATGCTCACAACAGAGCCGGAGACATGGTGAGTTAAATAGTATGATTGGGTATGAATGCTTCTCATTCATAAGAAGCATTAGGCTTTAAGGTCCTGGAAGCCTCTTCAACTTCACATCTGCAGAAGGAGCAGCCTTTCCTTTCCTTACAGGGGTCTGGGGTCAAGCCTATTAACCCAATATCCCACTGTCTTCACTTCCTGAATGGTGGTCTGGAGGTATTCTTCCTGGTGTTTGCCAAGACCCATCTGCGGGTCTTCCTCAGTCTCAGTGGCAGATGAGGAAGCAGTGGTTTCCCCAGGCCAGAGGCATCTCCACAGCCAGTCCCTCAACTCCACCCTGTCCAATGGGTCCTCCTCTTAGACTCAGAGGCCCCCAGAATGTGGGGTAGACCCTTGGAGCTCACTGAAGGACTTCAAGGGGATAGGGTAGGGTGTGTTTACCCTCCAAATCTAGTCTTGAGTCAGGGAAGGGGCGGGGAGGAGATTGGGGACGACTGGACCTCAGTCTGGGTTTCTTGTAAGGATGTGAGGGCAGGCTCAAGAGGGGTTTCCTCCGAGTCAAATACATTCACTCCCTTCCGTCTTCTGGTTTTTAGTACCCCCAGGGGACCACACAGCTGAGTCCTGGCGAAAGGAGCCACCACAACTGCCGGGCGACCTCTACACCGCGCCAAATGGAACCGCCCCAGGCGGCCGCACTTTACCACCCTCTGTGGCCTGTCGCTGTCACACTCCGAGTGAGTGTGAGAAGATGAGACCTCAGGAAAGGTAGGAGGGCGACAGCGGGCACCAAGATCCACAGGTCCTTTATCCATATGTCATAACAGTCACCCGCTATGGGCCGTGCCTCCGTCCTCTCCATTGCCAGCTCCACTGGGGACACTCCGACCGCACTGGGAGCGCCAGGTGAGCCGGACACGCATGCGCGGGCAGCACCTCCACGCGGGGGCCCGCTGACCCCGCGGGGGACCTGGCTTGGGTGGGGAGCGTATGCGCAGATGCCGCCCCCCGCTCCCGAAAGACCGGGTGTGGGTGGAGGCTAGACCCTGGACCTGTGGATCTGGGTGCCCACTGTCGCCCTCCTACCTCTCCTGAGGTCTCGTCTTCTCACGCTCATTCGGTCAGGTCTATAGTACAGCCTCGTACTGGAGTCTTAGTGTAAATCCTTCCGTTTAACCAGCAGTCCCTCTGGTAAAGAAAATGAATGAGTGAATAACAGACATGGTAAATTTAAGGTGATTCTGCTTAAAGCGGGTGAGGCCAGTACATCGCTACCCAACTCTTAGTTCCGGAGCAGGCGTCTTTCTTTCCTCACCTGGAAGTGGCAGAAATAAAAGACTTGCCTCCTGCCTGTGACCCTTCACCGGGTTCCTTCACCGCTTTGGGCTCCCTGTGGTGATGATCAGGGGCTCCCCACTGCACCCCACACCCTAGCCTTTGGGACAGTCCCACATGGAGAAAGTGGCCTAGGGTGGAGGGCTCGGCGGCACTAAGCACGACAGTGAATACTGTCTGACCGCTTTTTATAGCCCAGGCACCTAGCAGACATAATTCGTTTCGTATTCATATTCCCACTTCACAGTGGAAGAAATTGAGGCTGACCCCACAGCCGCCCCTTTGGTGGGTGTGCGATCAGGCCTTATTACATAAACTGCCTTTAAGGGATGGCACCACCACCCCGCGGGCTCTCTACTTCTGGTTGTTGCCCAATCACACTGGCAGGAGTTTCACTGGCAGCTGCAGCCCCGCCCGGGCTGACTCATCTCCCCCAAAGCGGTTTAATTCTGTTCCAAGTCTTTTCTAACTCTACCTTGGAGGGCTCGGAGCGGGATTGTTGTCTTCCCGGATTTTCGGCCCGGGGAGTTGAAAAACTAGTCTAACTCCCGGGCTGGAGAGCTAGGAAGCCCAAGAGGGTCAAGCCCTGGGTGTTGGCCTCGGATAGAAGGAAGGGGTGGTGAAGAGTCCGGGAAGGAGAAGAGTGGCTCAGCGCGGCTTCCCCGAGCCTCCCTCCTCCCAGCTCCCGCCCCCTGCTGGCGGCGGCTGTCACTCTCGCTGTGGTGCCAGCTGGCTCCGGCTTCTTCGCCTTTATTCCTACCTTCTTGCTCTCCTGCCTTCCTTCGGGCTTTTCACATCCTCTTCTTTTCCTCTCTTGTTTCCCTCCTGTTTGCCTTTCTCGACTTCCATATCGCCAGAAGATGGTGGTCTCCCTCCCGTTCCTCCCCACTCCGAATATAAAAGACAGAAAACCCCACTGGTCCTGTAATGGCTTCCCTAAGTCTACAGATGACTCCTGGCTTTCTAGCTCACCAGCCTGGGGGGACGTGTAAACCATGAGGTGACTCTTCCAAGACTGTGAAGGGAAGGTGGATATAAGTGGAATTGACACTGTATACTGATCACAACACTTAAAGATTCCACCAGAAGATACAGGTTTATTGCTATGTCACACATATGTATGCATTCATTCACTCAGCAAACACTGCCATCTGTTCTGTGCCAGGCTCTCTGTGTTGAGTAGCAAGAATACAGAGATCATAATAGATCCCCAGTCTCTCAGGTGGGTAAGTGTTAGTTCAGAGCTGTAGGACCCTCAGAAGGGGCATCTCATCATCCTAGGGGTTATCTATGGGGTAGGGTTGCCACATTTAGCAAATAAAAATATAGGGTGCCCACAAGGCTGAATTTCAGATAAATAACAAATAGGTTTACAGTATAAGCATGTCCCAAAGATTGCACAGGAATGCTTATGCTAAAATATTATTCATCGTTTATCTG